GTATGCATGATCATTTCCAAAGTCGGACTGTGGACGTGGTACATTCCCAGACGTTTCGCCGGCATCGTTAATGAGTCTTGCCAGTATTAGCACCACACTACAACTCGTCAGAGACAAGTGAAGCCGATCCTTTGACAAAACGTGTGCTAAACAGCTTTGGCATCTCACCTTCTGCCATTGGCTAGTCACATTTCCTATATCCTCGTATCACACCATTACTGTTACCATTTTTTTAAAGTTCTTATGTAGTGTGGTATGCCCTTTTGAGCGGCGTTCATGAGAACACTTCATATTCCACGCAGTCCTCCTTCCCTAGGTCATATCAGTCTCCCTCTTGCCCCGTAGAATCCATCTGCTAACACCCTTGTTCAAGTATTTCACTCGACCTCTGCCACCCCATCTGTGCTACTCGAGGCGTTATTTCCCACACTCTGTCTGAGTGACTAATTCGAGGAAAAAGCCTCTGAGTAAGTCTCATGGTCAAGCCATTGCTAATGTACCACGTCTCCGGTAAAACAGGCCTACTGTCAGCCAACTAGCTTCAGTCTCCGCCGCGTCAATCCTGCTTCTATCCGTATTACCAAGTCTATGACTTCCTATGCCCTAGTCTCTTGTATGCCAACCCACAAATGTTGTGGTACTGCTTGCTTTGATTAGGTTCAATGTGTACGACGTCCACGGTCCGACTTTGGAAATTATCATGCATACAATGGACTAGGTGTCTTCCTCTAAGCCTTCCTACCAATATGACCAAGTTGCGAATACAAGGTCAAACAACCTCTATACAACGAAAGGAGACCACACAAAAATTCACACCATCTTGGTCTTCATATATTCGTATAATAACTAGAGATTTTAAACAGCTAAATATGAACTTAATTGAGTGTGTTGTACAAGGAGTATAACTCAAAGATAAGGCGCACACAAATAAGGCTTACATGATCTACAACCGAGTGTGTCTGAGCTCGAGACGATCTTCCTTCTAGGGCACCACTTAGCTCCTCAATCCTCTCTTTGACGTTTTGGTTTGTTCTATTGACATATTCATCAAAACCATCTAAAGCGACGAGGTTGGTTGATTCATTAACATTAAGTAGAGAGATGGGTCGACTTGCGCAAGAATCTGAATCTGAAGTGACTCGGATCCCAGGTTCCATTGTGTTATATTTAGGAACAGTGGTAGAAACAGGAAGTAACGGTGAATCCGTATGAGAATCATTCAAGGAGACTTTAAGAGTAGCTGAGGGCAAAGTTGAGCAAGGCTGAGTTAAATGTGATGGCATGCTAAGCGAGTACGATGATGTAGATATGAGTGGGTATACACCCTCATTTTCACTTGTTATTGAGCCAGACTCAGTTGCAGTTTGAGCCATCGTGATAGGTTTGGGCCTGTTTATTTTGGGGGAAGGATTCGGACTTAACTGAGGAAATTCAGGGTAAATAATATAGAGATTGGAATAAGTTAATATAAATTCACAGTGAAAAGTAGTATGATATAATAATAGATATAAATAGTATACAATATTTTACACATATTATCAAATGTTCGAGATGTTTTGTGACATGTTGAAAAAAAATCTCCGATAACTTGGAAGTGGAGTTAAGCTAAATTAAATATAGTATATTGATACTAGCATACCTGTAATTTCGTTTGAGAAGGCGGGTGAAAACCCTTTATATCATTAATGTGGTATTCAGAAAATATAAGCTTATTCTTTGTCACCACAAGAATTTTCAAAGACATAAAGAAGAAAAGCGTCATCTAACATAGGGGATAAAAAGTGGAGGTCAAGGAAGCATGGCATAAAAGATAAGATAGGG